TGGTGGTATAGGGGTGCCTGCTTTCCAGTAGTCCTAAACTGGTAGCTGTCTGAGGATAGGAGAGCCTGCTCCCTACATGGCCTCCTTTGAGATAATGGGGAGGTATGGACTTGTTACCAGTGGGTTTCTTCTGACAACCGAGCAAAGAAGTGAGGGTCATCTTGTTACTGCCATGTGAAGATGAATGTTCAGGCTCTCCACATGGTTTCCACTGACACTGCAGTGGTGGGTCATATAGTGGAGATCAAATTCTCACCTCCTTATTTGGCCTTTTTGATAGCATCTGATGGGGCAGGAAATTTGGGGTGCTTCATTACAATTTGGCAAAGGTGGCAGTTTAGGCTTGCTGCCTGGCCTTTCTTGGTATGGGTGGAACTAGGGTCACAGTTTTGTTTCTTGTGGTATTTGGCTGGAGTAGAGGAACTATTTTTGTCTTGCTTGACTGCCTATTTCCTGTTCACTGGCTTAAGAATTAGTCTTTTTTGTCTTTTTGGTCTGTGCCTGTTGACGTTTCCAGCTGCTGGTTTCTTTAGCTTCAAGCTGGGATATATGAGGCAAAAAGAAAACTCAGGAATTCACCACTGTGTTGTTCTTCAGGTCTCGAGTCCTCTAGCTGGTCTTGTTTATCCTCTTTACCTTTCTGTCTTTTCTTTTTCTTATACATATAAACAAAGATTTTAGTTGTACTTAGTGAAAGGAATAAAGAAAAGTGCATCTATTGCATCTTCCTGGAAGTGGAAGTTAGATATGTTTTTAAGAGTTGTAATCACTTTCATTGTTGATGCAATTAACTGAAAAATGTCAAACTCAATTTTATCATTATGACTTGGCTATTAAAATTCTCATTACCTTCTACATTTTAAAAATTATCTGTGTGCTGGAGTAAGAAACAATATTACCTTTTTTTAAAACAAAAGGTAATTTGATTATTTTATTGCATTAAGAATTATTACATGTGAAATTACTATAAAGGTAATCAAAACCTCGATTCACTAAATTTCAACTAGTGACCAGTCTCCTAAGATCACAAATTGTCAACAAAAGCAAAGGGTGTTTGGTTTGGAAGTATCTGTTAGAAGGTAAAAATTGGTTTAGAGTCATAACTAATAGCTAAATATACATGGAATAATTTAAAATAAATGGAGCATGACAATGCAAACAAAATTAGGCACTAATTCTGGGAAACTAGCTGATGGTGATAAAGTGGAAACAAAACTAATTCAAGGATGTAGAGAACTGGACTTGAGTCTCACCTTGACTTCTAATCAACTATGGAATCTTGCTCAAGTCAGTTAAACTTCCTAAAACCACAGTTACTGTTATTTAGAGTTGAATGAGTTTATTCACTATACAAGTGAAAACTGATATTATTATTATTAGGAGATATATATATATATATATATATACACACACACATATATCTATATGATAACTATTATTTTGGAAGCGTGTATATGTATTTGGAGGTTTTGAAATGCTGCAGGTCATAGATTTCTAGAATAAAAAAGAACATTTAAAGTTATCTAGGTAAGTTTCTATAGATCATTGGTTCTCAAATGTGGCTGCGCATTAGAATTACCTGGGGAGCTTTCTAAAAGCTTCAATGCCCTGGACCATCTCCCAGAAATTTTGATTTAACTGATATAGGGTGAGGCCTAATCATTAGTACTTTTGTAAAGCTCCCCAGGTGACTTTAATGTGTATAGGGTTGAGGCTCACCAATCTTGATAAATGTTTCCAGTCCTGTCTCAAGATGTCATTCAGCCTGAGTAATTCAAAATTACCATTGGTCTAGTAACTTTCTAACCAGGGTTGGAGAAGAGGGCTAGTTTCTTTTAACTCCTTTACTCTTGTCCCTATCCCCCCGAAATGAGGCCTTAACACGGACATTTTGAAAATGTTCCATGGTGATTCTGACACATATCTTGTACTTTCAGACTGTCCACCCCACCTCCTTTTTTCTTATCTTCTATTCTTCCAGTTAGAAGTTGACCTGTTTGAAAACTTATGATGGGAAACTCACTGGCTCCTGGGCATCTAATTTTATCTTCAATAACTCTTCAATAAGATACAACGTAAAAGTGACGAAGACACAGATCTCAGCTCGATATAAAGAAGATCAATGTGGTAATTTAAAAACAAATCACAACATAAGTTAGAATATCTCTTGAAAACAGCTTATTTGCTGGTTTTTTTTTTTTTTTTTTAATATTTACTACATTTCACTTACTAGGCCTTTTACCTCAAAACAATCCTGTGGAGATGTTATGATTATCTCCACTTTTTAAAGAAAAAGCCTATTTTTCTAATTTTCATAGATGAGAAACCTGAGGCACATGGAACATAAATAAATTGACAGTCAGCCAGTAAATGATCGAGTGGAATTTAAATATTGCAATCGCTCCCATGGCTAGAGTTTGACCCATGATTTACATCCATGGCCAGGTTCACTTGGGTTTTCTTCCTTTCTATTTTTTTCTTTACTATGAATTGGTGCTCTTCTAATATGTCCAAAATATATTTTCAAGACTGGTACATGTCTATGAAGAACAGTTTGATACAAAAAGAAGCAAAGGGAAGCTGTTGTGGCCAACATTCAAGAATGTATTGAAGACAGGATTTGAGTGATAGATCTAGGAATAGTTTTATGAAAGACAATACCAGTGGGGGCAAGGTGGACTAACTCAGCTGGCTCTTCTTCCGGCTAGGCTAGCTAAGTTTGAACTTAGGTCATCCCTTGCATTTAAAGGCAACCTCTGTCACTCCCAGAAGGAGCTCTCTGCTGGCGGTTCAGTAATTCACTGCTGACTGGGCTTGCGTCATAAGAGAACACTTTAAATATTTAAACTTTGTCTTTTTCCTGATGCAGAGCAGGAAAGATGATTTTCCAAGGAATTTAGCATTAAACTCAGGCAATTTGTACAGCTGCGCATATAAATGGCTTTTCACATAATCTCTAGAGGCCAGGGTCAGTGTTCTCGTGCATTTTAATTCTTAGATGACACAGAGGCATCCTTCTAATTTATGTTTCCTCATAATTGAAAGGAGCTTAATAAAACTGAGGAAGAGGCAGTATGTTTACAGGAATATCGATTTCTGCTGACAGTTGAGCGGAAGTTAATTGTAATTTTAATGTAATTTGTTCCATGGGTGATGTTGAGCCCTGGAACATAACTAAATTCATTTTGAAAGAAATAGTTCTGTGTGTGTGTGTTTGTATGTGTGTGTCTGCGTGTCCACATTATAGTGTTAGAATGACCCAATTATACAGCTATCATGAAGATACCAAATGTAACTTCTCCAGATGAATACTGAAATTATTTTTCCCATAGATATATTTGTTTAAATAAACGAAAGCCTGGCCTTTATTATCAACACAGAATTTTACCCATTCAGGTTTCGAGGTGGCACAGATATAATTTTGCTTGAATTAAATGAACACATTATTTATCAAAGTACGAGTCCTAATTGCTAAAGTTAAGCTTATCTGCATGAACTGTAGTTAATATTTATTCTGGGTGAAGCAGTTTTTATTAAGATTTTTTTCATTTAGTAGAGCAAGAACATGCTAATAGTTTTGTTGGTAATTCAAACATTTCCTGCTGTGGGTAAAACAAATGTAAAACTGAAGAATGATGGTGTTCTCTGGCTCTGAAATTTGCTAATTGCAGAGCTATTCAATTATAGGTAATATCCTTTTATTGCTAATAAGATTACCGTGTGTCAACATGACTGCAATTCTGAAATGGAATTTGCCCAATTTGCCTTGTATAGAATTTAAAACTGTTTTGTGTAAAAGACTTTAGAAAATTAGCATTGAAATATGAATGACAAGAAGAAATCAGTAAAATGCCTAATCTAAAATCTCTTCCCATCCAGATGCTTTTTTGGGGGGCTAGTTTCAAAATGGATTTTACCACCAAAACAATAACAACAACAAAACAACAACAACAGGCAAATGGTTGAATTTACTGTCATCTAGGTTAAAAATTTATTTAACTAGTTTACGATCTGCTTTTATAAAATTTGGTATTTTTCAAATCCTCTCCCCCAGCCAATGTCTAGTATCATATTAGGCACAGAATAAGCAGAGAGTAAATATAGTTTAGATCAGGCAATCAAGAAATCATCAAAATCAACTAATTGGGAGGAAGGGACACACAAGATGTATATTCCTTAATATAATAATCAAGAAATCAAGGTTCTCCAGGGGAACAGAACTAATAGGATACACACACACACACACACACACACACACACACACACAGACATACATATATATACAATTATATATATTATAGAACTAATAATTGATATAGGACATATGAAAATATTCCATATTAATTATATAATTTATACAGAATACTTATATATAATTTATATATAGGGAGAATGAGATTTGTTATAAGGAATTGGTTCATGTTATTATAGAGGCTGGAAGTCTCATGATCTGCTGGCTGCATACTAGAGACCCAGGAAAACCAATGGAGTAAATTTCAGTCCATGTCCAAAGTCCTGAGAATCAAGAGGACCAATGGTGTAAGTGTAAGCCCAGTGCAAGGGCAAAAGACTGATGTCTCAGTTCACACAGCCAGGAGAGAGAGTGAATTTTTCCTTCCTCTGCCTTTTTGTTCTATTCAGGTCCTCAATGGAGTGGATAATTCTCACCCACATTGGGGAGGGCAATCTACTTTACTCAGTCCACTGATTCAAATGCTAATCTCATCTGGAAATACTCCAGCAGAAATACCCAGAACCCTGGAGCGCAGTCAGCATGGCCCATAAAATTAACCATCACACTGGGCCTTACTCTCGACCAATTAAATCCCACTCTTAGATCATAGAACACAAGAATGTGCATGCTCTATTTGATCCCTAGAGTGCTTCTTATTCACATGGAATTTGAGAACTACTGGCTCAAAAAGGTAATTCAGATACCTGATTAATGGTTTTTGTGCCTATCTGGTGCCTTTGGCTGCAAAGACCATGGAATGACTTACCATTTTTTCCTAGGGAGAAGACTGTATTTATCCACTTCTTGTCAAACATAGCTGGAACAGAGGCTTCCATGATGATGATGACCTTTATATCAAATGTTACTGATGATGCCAGCAAATATAGGTATCTAGGCTCCTCTGGACGTAGCAGGACCTTTAAGAATATGAAGGACATATTACTTGGGAAGTCTAATTTCTCCTAGTAAGATGTTATTTCAAAAGGTGTGATCTATGGATCTGTGTATAAGAATAATTTAGTATTCCAGACCCAGTCGATCAAAATCACAGAGACTGGATCCAGAAATCTGTATATCTTAATCTGTATCACAACCCCTACTTCTCTCACCCCGTTCCTAACAGAGTCACTGGCATATGGCGATCTTGGGAAAGAACTTTCTTCTCCTTCCTCTGAATTTTGGACTAATTAGAGAGAACAACCATCTCTGTATGCCCGGAACTTTCCCAGCTTTACCACTAAAAGTCCCATGTCTTGAGTAAATTGGAACAGTTGGTCTTCCTAACTAAGACCTAATTTCAAATCCTGTTCTACCATATATTACCTATAGGGCATTGAAAATGGCACTAAACCATTCTGAGATACAATTTCTTCATCTGTAAAATGGCTATAATAGTCATTTCACAGAGATGTTGTATGGATTAAATAAAATGAGATGTGATTACAAATATAAAACACCTACCAAGCAGACATTCTGTAAATGTTATTTCCTTTCTCTGCCATTGGCAAAATCGTATTCTCAGGCCCAAGGGGGATACTGTTACATACAACAAGAAGGTGGATGCCATTTAATTTGTTTCATCTGCCAAAAAAAGAGAGCTACTTCTTTGTCAGTAAATAACAGGTTGTCATAAGCTATTTTCAGGCAGATTTGTTTTTTATTTTTTTTCCATTTGAAAATATGCAAATTGAGTCTTGATTCACTTCATTTCTATGTAAAATTAATTAACTTAAAATTCTGAATATAAACAAAAAAGAAAAGAGATGAGTTCAAAATTCGGAGTTGTTAGGTTTAGAATTATATAAACAAAAGGAGGTATCACTTCTATAATTTGAGGAGATACATGGACAAAGCCCTTAGGCCAGATTATGTTCCTACTGCTGGCTTTAATAAGCTATGTAGATTTAGCCAGATCTCAATTTTTCTATACCTCAGATTCCATACTTATAAAAAGAATGAACTTGGAATAGTATATTAAATTGATTTCTAAAGTTCCTTCAAGGTTTATGATTCTATTCTAGATAAATTATTATTTTGTTCCTATTTGAATTATCTTAGTAAGAGGAAGTTGGCTACTTTAAGACAGTTAAATGTTGATGCTAAAATAGAGAGATTAATTTTAGATTGTTCTTTATTTTGAATCAAAATTTTCTTTCTATAAGTTATTCTCGCTAGTCTTAAATCTGTCCTTAGAAAAACTCAAAATAACTCTATTTACTTTCTCATAAGTTAGTTCTTCAACTATTTGAAATGAAAAACCCCATTAAACATTGGCAAATTAAAGAAAAAATTACTTTTGCTAGAAGTGGACATGACATGGCCATGTTTTACTATAGTAGATTTGATTGAAGCCTTGAGGATTTCTTAGGCCTAGTGAGACTGTCCAGACCAATTTATAACTGAATAATTAAAATCCAGCATGATGATTTGTATATGCATGTAGAAGCATAAAGTTTGGATAACCAAATAAAAGAACTGACCCTTTCTTATTCAGGTTAGAATAAGAAGTCAAAAATCAAAGATAAGAGTGGACTGAGAAAAGGTTAAGAAGGCAGGAGCTCAGTCATAGAGTGACTCTTTTCTAGAACAAATGTATTTGGCTGGAAGAAATCTCTGTGTAGAAACTGAGAAACAGAAGTGTTCAATCAATAATTGTATCCCAAATTGGAGTTGAGAGGACAGAGGACTTAAATCAAGATTAGAGATAATGTTCATTCCTTCAGTCATTAATTCAAAAAATATTTGTTGAGCACCCACTCTGTGCCAGGCACTATTTGGGCCATGGATATCAGTGGACAAATATAAGCCTAGCTCTTAACCAATGTAGCATAGGGTATCAGATCTACCGGCTGTCAAGAGTCTCCTATTAGCATATTAATGATCTGATTGAGTCTTTCTATGATTAAATTGAGGGAAAGGTTGTGATATACAGCATGTTAAAACATATGAATTTCTAGGTTCATTCTCAGTGATTCTGATTAAATGGTCTGGCATGAGACCCAGGAACATACACTTTTAATAACCTTCCTATATTATTCTGAAACATGAGGCCCATAGGTTATATTTTTAAAACTATCATTTTAAAAGGAGAGATCAGATTTTCTAAGGAATCTGTCCTTTATACTCTTAAAGGGCCCTATTTCACACAAAGGAACCTGTATACCAGCATCTGTGGAAGGAATGCTGTTTATTGATGCATGGCTTATTCAAAGCCCTGACAATCTCTTTAACATTCAACATTCAACATGTTCACGACGACTTCCTTCTTTTCATCACACCTTAGGGATGGATCTGGAATATACTTTCACTTGCCAATGTTATTCTTTAAGGACAAGGCCCAGAATTATCCTTGGTGCTCTGGATACATTCTACTTCTAGTGGTATTTTCATTTTTTTTGGACAGTGAATTTTTATTGTTGCAGCCAAATACTACTTTTTTTCTCCCTCTTTAGTGAAGTTGTGTTTTCAGCTTTTATTGATCTGGTAGTCAGTTAAAACCTTTACATCTTTCACAAATTTCTCAAATAAAATTGTACCATTCAATCACCTCTACACATTTGTGAATCATCCCCTTTACTCAGGGACAAAGACAACTTCTCAATGTGTAATTATCCCATGTTTTATTGAACTTACCTTTACCCCGAGGGCAGCTGCTTCAAAGTCTTAAATCCCTTTTCTGATTTCCAGAATTAATCCACTGTATCTACATCCTTGGATATCAACAGAAATCCAGCTTTTACTACCAAACATAATAATACAGATGATTATCCCCTTGTAATTGTTTACACACAGTGATCTGATCCTCCCACCTGCTCAAATCCTTCAGCATCTTTTGGAAGCAGAATCACAAGCATACTCTATTCTATTCTCAGCTTCTTTGAATGGCCCCTTTATCTCTTGCTTAACTGAAATGTGGCTACAACCGAAGATACTACATCTCTGTAACCCCTTGAATGGAGACTGTTTTTTCTTCTACACTCCACATAACTTAAGTGTCTTTTCTATTCCCTCTTGCTACTTGAAAACTACTCTCTTTCCTCCTTAAGAAGATTAGCCTTTTCCAGGTTCAACTCATCAGACTTTTTTAGCTCTTACTTTCATTACTGTCATTCACCGACACTTGTTTGCTGTCCCCATTCATAGAGCTCTTGTCTCCTTCATAGCTATAATTTTTTGAGATTTCCTCATTCAAATAGATGATACATCCAGCTTCTACATTCTTAGAACCTTCATCTACTTGTTTTCCACACCATTTCCTTCAAGCTTGCTTGGCTAACCAATCAAATATTATTACCTATACCTATGCTACTTCCAAAATGTTATTTTCAAATATTTCTACAATCTCCGATTATCACTTCTCTTCTTCCAACTCCCTCTAATATTTTTATTCTAACAATTCTAATTCATGAAAATCTGCAATCCATTTATCCAAATGCCTTTCACTGCCTATCAGTTACTCCAGGTCCTCCCTCTCCCCAGAAACCTAGATTTTTTTATTTCAGCTCTGTGTTTTTTTGCAAATCTTGTAAGCCTTCAATTTCCTTTTGTCTGACATTTTATTCACCTGGAATATTCCCAGCCCCAATTACTTCAACTATCCTTTTATTTTGCACCTAACAGGTGCAAAATAATCAGAGGAAATGCACTAATTTGATTATTTTAAACTTATGTCCACAGCATCAAAAGAAATATCAACACTAACAGACAATCCTGCTAAACTTTCCTATTCAATTTACTTAACTACTTTCTAAAGTGACAATTTCATGACTTCTTAAATCTTTAATACCCATTCCCCACACTTCGTCTTAGCTAATGACCTTGCACACGACAGAATTAGATGAAAATTTATTCATCTTGACCAAAAATTTCATCACCCTACTGTATTGTTTCCCTTGTAGTTTTCTTTATTGTAGTTTTCCTTATAGTAGAAATGATGTTCTTACTTAAGGCCAAGTTAATTTGTGCCACAAGTACCATCTACTATCCTAAGGTTTTAATTTCTGCAATTAAACACTTTTTCTCCTGAATCATCAAATTTCCACTCTTTACTGGTTCTTTCAAAACATCTTTAAAAAATATTGTCCCTTTCCTCATATAGCCTTGTAGTTGTATTATTTTTCTCCTTTTATTCACGTGAAAAAAAAAAAATCATGAAAGTAGTTCCTTGTATTTGTGTTCTCCATTTATTCACCTCACATTTTGTTTCTTACACATTCCAATTGGACTTTGGACTTCATCATTCTATATAAAGAGTTCCTAGCAAGGTCACAATTAATCTATGTCTTCCCATGGCTAATGGTTAATTTTCCATCATATTGCCGGTGCCCTCTACAGTTTTTAACATGATCAATATCCCATCCATATCTAAACGCATTTTTCTTTTGTTTCCAGGACACTATACTCTCCTAGATTTCCTCTTAGTTCACTAACTGTATTTTTTTTCAATCTTCTTTCATAGCTTTATGTTACCTATGAAATCCCTATCTATCAATCTCATTGATAGAATGTCCTAGGATGCTGGCCTCAGCCCTCATCCTTCTGATACTCTTTATCTATACTTTCTCACTATGTGATTACAACCAATCCCATTTTCTCAAATACTATTTGTATTCTGTGGAATTTTTAAAATATTTCCATCCAAACATCTCTTTAGTGCTCCAGTGTAATACAGTCAATTAATATAGCCAAATAATCAGTACTAGGATATTTAATAGGCACCTCAAGTTGAACATGGTCAAAGCAGAACTATCAATCATAATTCTCTACCTTAGTCCACACTATCCCAGTTTATTAGTTAAGTTCTTCTAGCTCTTGTGCCAAAATATAACTAAAATTCAATAACTTCTCATCTCTATTGCTATATATCATCCCAGAGACCATCATGCTTATGGGACTCTAGCAGGAGCTTTCTTTTATA